TCTAGAAGTGATCAACAATTTTTCGCTTTTGTCTTTGCCGATCAATGATTATCAATTCATCAGACCATTAAAAAATTCGAAGCAAAAAAGTCAAAAATGTTAATTACTAAAAAAAATAAATATACAAACTCAGATCGGAACACTTAAAAATACCCAGGAGATTAAAAGCCGTATGATATTGTATTTTACGTAAAGATAAAAAAAACATTACTCGAGTAATGGATTATAGAATATAGATTTATTATTATAGAGTAAAGATTTGCCAAATCGAAAAAGATTTTCGAGGAATAGATCGATAATCGAATAAATAGTATAGAGTATATAAAACGTGAGGGAAGTAGATCCCGCCAAAAAAGAATAAACGTGAAAATCAACCAAAAAAAAAAACGGGATTTTATCAATAAAAGGTAATAGTTTACGGATTTTTTATTTCAGGGTAATTAATTAAAACAGTAACCTGTACCAGTAATCATCCGAATTAAACATTGTATATACCACGTTTTGTTTTCTATACTACGTTAAATAACTTAAAAACTAGAAAAAAAAAAAATTAAGATCACACCTTCAGGGCATTACTTAGATCTAAAAGTTAAAAACTAAAAATCAAAATTATCAAAAACTTAAAAACTAGAAAAATTAAAATTGCGCTTTCGTGGTATCGCCCGGGCTTAAGAGCTAAAACTAAATTTTAAAAAACTTAATAAAAAAATTAAAACCGCGCCCCTGAGGCATCGCCCGGGCCTGAGAGCTAAAAACTAAAAAACTAATATTTAAAAAAACTTAAAAACTAGAAAAAATTGTGACTGTGGCCCCGGGGCATCACCCGGGCCTGAGAGCTAGTACCTCTAAGTGCACATTTACTAAATTTTTATGTATGATCCTGTCACATTGCATTTAGGGAGGTCTGCCTGTATTTATAATTTTAAATATCGGAATAATTTATAATTAAGATTAAAAAGTACAGTATATAAAAATTTTCTTTCTTGATCATAGAATTAATTTGATCAATCCTTACAAGTTTCAAACGTCACGCCGGCGAAATAACCCGGTAAATATTCCTTAGTTGACGGATGAGATTACTTTTGGTATTTCATACATGTCGATATTCCATAATTTTAGGTATATAGTTTGTTTTCGTGCCTCATATAAATAATGTATGTGTATATAAGGCTAATATTACTCTATTTATTTGAGTTTTCAATCTCATATTAGCGGATCCTATTCTTCTCACCTAATCACATAGTGCCTTCCATTTTGTTATTAAAAAAAAAAAAATGTCATTGACAGATTCAAAACGTCTGGCGGCTTATAAAGCTGTTGATACCCATTTAAATTCTGCTACAAGAATAATTGGAATTGGATCAGGTTCAACCGTTGTTTTCGTTGTTGAACGTATTGTACAAAGAGGAAATGTTAAAAAGAATAAGTTGGATGGAAAAAACGAAAACTCAAACCAAGTTTTAGAGGAACTGGATTTGGCTCAATGTGTTTTTGTACCAACAAGTTTTCAAAGTAGACAATTAATTATCGATAATGGATTAAATTTGGGAGAGATTGACCAGTTTGTGAAGTTTTTTCTATAGCTTTTGATTTTTTTGGTGAAAATTAGAGTTTCATCGTCTTGTATTCCTTTAGGTACCAAGAAATTGACATTACAATTGATGGCGCTGATGAAGTCAGTTGTATTATATATATATCTACATATTTATACACTATACAGAAATCTGAATATCTTAATATGCAGTAACTACATACATAAACTACATACATACATAGTAACTATACTATGCAGTTACTGCGTATTAAGATATCCAAGATTCTGTAAATTCTGTAAAGCACATTACATATAACGAATTATCAATTGATTATTACATTTATATTTATGTATAATTACCTAATAATAGGTCGATGAAAATCTAAATGCAATTAAAGGTGGTGGTGCTTGCCATTTACGAGAAAAAGTTGTAGCAGAAAGTTCCAAAAAATTTATAATTGCTGCGGATTATACTAAAAAGTCTACTGTTCTTGGCGAAAAGGTAATTCAAATTATATCTCTAAATTTATACAACACACTCATTCCTGATTAATCTTGAAATTATAATAGTGGATCCAAGGCATTCCAATAGAAGTAATCCCGTTCTGTTACTCCTTAGTCCTTAACTCTCTTAGGCTTCTAGGTTGTCAAAATCTAAATCTTCGTATGGGAAAAAATAAAGCAGGTCCTATTATTACAGATAATGGAAACTTTGTTATAGATGCATATTTTGGTAAATTGGATGGGCAACAATTTCTTGGAAGTGATAAATTTATGTTCATTAATTCACCTTCAGAGGTTTTAAAACGAATTAAACTGTTAACTGGTGTTGTAGAAGTTGGATTATTTGTTGGGATGGCAGAAATTGCTTACTTTGGCGAAGATGATGGTCACAGCGTTAGTATTTTGAAAAAATGAAAATTTTGGACCATTCAGCTATCATAGTACATGCATAATAGTATTTATACAAACTTCACAAGACAGTTTTGAATTCATTATATATATTTAAAATTTATTTTCGCATTGTACAAAATTGTTACGAGAATAATAAAATTTTTATTAAAAAAATTAATATATTAAAACAAATTATATTCTCTTTGATGCTTATGCTATTATTGTTATGAGATGTTTATTATATATCACAATGATGTCGGATGATTGTAATTAAACAATGGTATTCCTTCTCATAAATAACCCTTGAATTCTCTTCTTATCTATTTCTTCTTTCAAGTCTTTCATCACCTCTCTGCATAATTCATCACTTCCCCAAATTTTCACGCACTTATCAAAACCACAAGTAACCAACAAATCTCTTTCTTCGTCGTACCACATTCCACGTACAACATCAGAATGTCCACTTAATTTATCATCATCATCGCTATTAGTATGACCTTTTAATTTTTCAATTAGTCTTTTGGATTCAATTGAGTATACACGTGGATAGGCATCTATACCACAAGCATAAAAATATTTTCCTGATGGATGCCAGAACAACCTCGGATTTGTAAATTTTCGAGAGATGTCAGTTGCTATAGTGATCGATGGCGATGTTGGAGACGAAGAGCTTGGAGATGATTCAGGTGAAGGAATGTCATAAAAGTTTGCTAGTTGGATCAACGTTGAAGACGTAATACTATCGTTCTTGTCAATTTCATTTTGTTCACCAATGTCACAAGTAGATGTATTAAATGTTTTAAACATAATGATTCTACCATTATCGTCATCAGTTGCAACCAATAGGTATTTACCACCATTATTAGGACTAGCGACAATGTCCATTGCTGTAAATGATACCCAGTTATCACCATTTGCATTCATGTTATGTTTCGTAATTTCAAAATTTTGGCGTTTGAATTTGGTATGTTGAAGATTAATATAGTATAGATAATTAGATTCACGAATACCTACAATTAAATAATTTGAATCTGGAAGAATACAAAGAGATTCTATATTTGATTCAAAAGTTATAGTATGCATTTTAGAGTATAAAGGAAAAGGTGTTGATGGTGTAAGTGGAGATGAAGGAGTTGTAGGAATTGGTGGTGATGTCTGCATTGATGAATTTACGAAATATGGAGAAGAAAGACGTGTAGGTGTTGATGATCCACTGATGTTATAAATAATCAAAGTATGATCATAGCTCGCAGTAAAGAGCATGTTGCCATCCGGTGAAAACTTTGCTCTAACAACGTATTTGTTATGATCTTTAAAAACTTGTTTAACTTCCATAGTAGAAGCATCGATTAACGCAACACTACCGTCCATTGATGCGGTCAACATCAAGTTTGTATAAACGGGATGAAAATCGATAGCAAGAACTCCACCTTTATGAATATCACAAACATTATATACATCACCGGTAAGTAAAGAAGTGAATTTTATGGATTTATCAGCCGAACCGGTGATTATCATGGGGATGGAAACAGTTTCGTAGTCATTGTCAACGTAGTTTGTGAGTTGGATGTTTTGAATACGAACAGTGAGAATGTTTGAATTGTGAATTTTGGAGAACGTTTCGCAGAGATAACGAGGATAGATTGTGGTCCCAGGGGTATATAAATCATCATCTATATTACTGT